AAGTAGATAAACAAGTAGCTTGGGAGTATAATACTAAAACAATAAAATATTCTTATTCAATTTGACTATAAGGGATATATTATTATATCATAACTAAATGGATCAAAATTGAATTTAGGATCTAAAAATAATCAATTGATGTTTAAATATTATATGAAATATTTATCTAGTATCTAAATGAAAAAATAATAAAGGTAGTAAAATAAAAGAATTTATTTACTAAATAATGTTGAAGCTGGATTTTAAGACGAGATACTTCATAAAAATACCAATATTTGGACTTAACTTAGCATTTGATTCTCATAATTTAAAATTTTTTTGTCTTAATATTCTCTATAATGATACTTAATCTTTCTAAAAATTATCCTTAAAACTTTTTTTACTTTATTTTCTCAGTTAGACTTAGAAAGTAAATAATATAAGATTGATTGAATTGTTAGAAAAGCATAAGCACAAAGTTGAGCTAGATGGAATGATTAATGAAACTTTAAGTGTAATAAATATAAATAAGTTTATCAAATCATTGTTTATAAACTGCATCATCATACTAAACCACAAGCGTTGGTAATAATAAAATAATTTTAAGCAAAATCATAAATTGAATAATTGAAACTTAAAAATGAAAACTAAAATCTGATTAATAAATATTAGATAAAAATTCTTAATTCTTAGGTTTAAACAATTTTGTTGAAGCAATAAAGTTAACATATAAAGGCTTGAAATTAGCTTATTTATATAGTCGATTTTGTTTAATTGTCTTGTAATTTTGCTCCTTTAACATCTTTTGATATTTTATATTTTGGAAAAAATTGCAAAAAAAATACTTATCACTTTATCAAAAGAACATTCAAATTTAAATAATACTTTTACAATTAAAATATGATATATAAGTCAAAATAAGATCTCTAACAGTAAATTACATCACTTTCCTATTATTAATCCAATAAAATTTAAAGATTTTCAACATAATCTAAAGAATGATATGTACCTTGAAATTCCAATTAGCATATTTATTGTAAGATTATCAGGGCCAAACAATAAAATACTTCTAATATAGGAATTTTAAGAATGTACATTGCAGTTCTCTTTATATAAATTGATTCAATCTGACATGCAATTATAGAAAGTGTATAATTTGAAAAGAAAAAATTAGATTATTGTTTAATCAGAAATATAACCTAAATCGAATATTTTTCCATTTAACATTTAAATCAATAAAAATATTATGATGATTGATATTAATTTTAACAATAATCTTTTGAATTAATATGTTTTTTTATTTTAATCTTTTTACTTAGGATCTTAAGGATGGAATAACAATTCAAATATAATATTTAAACTTTATTATTTGTTTTCCATTTATATACTTACCTTCTCTAATAATACACTTACAAGATTAATTAAATTTATTGAAATGATATCTTTTTTGGTTTACTTTTTATATTTTGTCAGAGTAAAAAAGATATTAAATTATTATTTAATCTAAATTTTTTTAAATTAATATCAAGATCCTATAAAAATAAAATTTCATACCAGAGTTGTTCAATTTTTTTATGCTTAGTATATATATATGTAATATTAGATAAGAATTTTATAAAGCTTCCAATAGATAAGAAAATAGACAGTTGAAATGGAAAGGAACTTTTGATCATACGCAATGTGAATAGAAAATGTTGTGTTTAAAAATAGAAATAATTTATATATAAATTTGTAATCCATTAATATAATAAATAATGGGAAGTTGTGTGGGGTAAATAATATTTAAAGGCAATAATCAAATTAAGTAAATCAGTAGATTCCCGAGACTATTCTGTCTTCAGAAATGCATGAGAGAATAGTACCGATAGTGTAAAGTGTAAAGGAAGCTAATAAAATTAAATAGAGAAGTAGAAAATGGATTTGAATAATAATTTATACCAAAAAAAATTAATAAAAAATAGTAATGAATTCATAATCTTCAAAGAAATTTGCATTTAATCAAGAATCATATAAATAGTGCATAAAAGGATTGGATAACAAAATTGAATTAGAA